ATAGATAATCTATAATAAATAATTGTTTATGCTCTGATAGTCGAAATTCCAAGTTTCTTTTTAGAGTGTGGGTGTGCATGAAGGGGAGGAAAAGCCCCACATTCACACCCACCCCACATAACAATTGGTGAAGAACGAAAATTAATCTCTAATGAGGCTGAAGTTGAATACATCAAATCGATTTTACAATCTATTGATAGTGAACTTCGTTTAAATGTTCCTGTAGTTATTAAAAATATGTTGAAATATTGTAATCTAGATGAAAATTGTATTTAAAAAAATCTGGATTTTGATGATTTACGAAAAGTATTCTTAATGATTTTGCATCTCGATAATATTGTACTGTAAGACTTTCTTTTTATGCGAGGATGTATATCTTTTTTAAATGTTTATTGGGATGTTTCTATATTATCTTACACTTATTTATTTATTTATAATGTAAGTTGATCTATACATACTTTTATAATAAATAATAAATAATAATTTATTGTAATGTTGTCGATTTTATTTTAATATATGTATGTTAATGCAAATACAATAGCGAGCAAAATAGAATCGAAGACGGATAAAGATACTGCGCAATAACGACAAAACACGAGACTGAAACTTTTAGAAAATCAAAGAAAATAAAACGAAAAATAAGAGAGACAAAGAATAGAAATATGGAAAGTACACGGAAAACAATAGAATCAAAAAAGAAGATAATCAACGCAAAGAAAGAAAGAGAGAAATCACTCTTGTGCTTGTAAACATAAAACAAACGAAACGAAAAGAAGAAATACAAGACATAGCAAGAGAGAGAGAGAAACAAAAACAAAAGGGGCATCGTAATCTGTTGTATAACAACTATCGATTACGATGAAAAGGAATGACCGAAAAGAAACGAATAAGTCTAAGAAAAACAAGTTAGCGTCGTACAGCGACATCTTACGACGCTAACATGCACCAACAGATGTAACAAAATCACATGTATTAACTATATTAGATAAAAAGTTTCAAGGTAAGTGATTTTCATAAAAGAATTCGAGGCTTTTTTTCTATATTTTCCAAATTCACTATGATCAATTTTAGGCAATTGTAATAATTCTGTAACGTTTCATTTTACACCAGAAACCATTCGTAGTGTTACATATGAAATTGTAAATGCTAAAACATTAGAAGGCTTTGGTGGTTTATTAAGAAAATATTGTCCAAGACGTTGGGGTCCAGTTTTTTCTGAACTTATCAAACAATAATCAGTTTTACCAGAAGCAAATGAGCAACTCGAAGATGTTAAGACTGTCACCAATAAAGATAAATTAGTTGCATCATTAACAAATCAAGTTGAATATTCTCAATTGTATAATAATGAAATGTCGCACTTTTGTTGGCAATCATTAGCTGATGTCGATATTAGTCTTTTGTCAAAAATTATTGGAAAAAATTAATTCGATAAAATTGAAAAAGATAATATTGGAAAACATGTTTTACATTGTTATCGAACATCAAATAAACCCAATCAACATGACCGTTTTAATTCAGTTTTACCATTTTTTGACTAATTAAACAAGAATCAGAATAGCTTTTATTATTTCTTCGATTTCTTTTATTCTTGTACATAGGGTGTGGATGTGGACATTTATGAAGATAATGTCATACACACACCAACACCCACACCCTCGTCAGACAACTGATTAAGCGAGAATCTTACACAAGAGAACACTTACACTATCAAGATATTGCGGGCTTTCATTCAAATCACAAAATACTACAAAAAGAAAAAAAGAATTCTTGTATACAAGAACAACTATTTATTCGTTTGTTTCTTTGGTTCTAAATACACCCACACATCGGATCATCAAACTCTGTATCTAGTCTATAGTTTCGAACTTTTTCATCTTCTTCTTGATTGACTGCTATAATCCATTTTAATATTTGATCTGGACTTTTAACACAAAATTCATCCCGACTATCCTTAGTATGATTGTAATAGACTGTATCATATTCTTTCCATAAATGTGTTGTGCCCCGAAGAGAATCTTTTTCCGGTCCTGGACCAACTTCTTTAACTTTGCCCATCTCAATTTCAGCACATATATAAGCGCCATTAGCATTAGCTTTCCCTTCTGTTTCTGCCATTGATCGAGCAAAATAAACACCGTGCCCTAACATTGTACTTTTGTTATTGGTACTAATTGCAAAATCTGAGTGGGCAATACTCACTGCTGCTTCCGCTGTTGTTCGATGAAAACCAATATAAAGATTTTTTCCTGGAGTTTTCTGTTGAACATCACAATAGCGTTTTTGTGGTTTAAAATCTTTGGAATGAAATATTAGAATATGTTCTAGACGACGATTTGTACATCGATCACCATCGGAGCAAGGTCTATCACCATGATGCATGGTACGATTATCACCCATTAAATGATAGGGAATATAACGTTTATGTTTTTTCGATAATGTACCAGATATTGTGTCGCATTGAGGCTTATAGTGCCACCACACACGATAATGATAGTAGTCCAAGAGAGAAGTTAAAAGAAGAAAAAAGAATGAGATAGCAACGACAACGGCGAGACTTTTTGCTGTTATATGATGTCGCAATGAGAAACAAAATGCTATAGTTGCAATGCGAATACAAGAAACCAGAATGAGAAATAACAACTGTAGCTGAAAACGTAATGTAGGACGTGCACGGTAACATGGACAATTACAATTAAACGCGATGAACCGATGTGTCGCTTTTGCTTTGAACAGTTTACAGAGCGCTTTACGATAGCATTCTGTACACAAGAGACAGAAGAACTGAGTGGTCACTACTGATACACCAAAAATAAAAAAGAATAAAATCACCGTTCGAATCGTACCGACCATAAACAGGACAATAATTATAATCCAATTTTTGATACCCACTAATTCCCAGTCATCATCATCAGGGTGATTGATTTTAAAGAATAATTCACGTTTGGTAATGAAGATGAGGATAATTAGTGAAAAACTTACTATGAATTCAGCTATGGCGACAAATGCATGGAAATAGAAAAGTGAACGATAGAACCAAGAATGGAAGGACATCTTTTTATATTTTATAAAATGTAAGCTTTTTCTTTGTTATTTCTACTGGTGATAGCAGAAAGTATAATAGATAAAATATAATTGCAAAGATAAGAGTTTCTTCATGAGTTAGAGGAGAAAGAAGCATACAGGTTGGAAAAAACGTAGGGTGTGGGCTAATATTAGATGAACACCCACACCGACACCCACACCCCAAAGATAGGAAACTATGCATCATCAAAATATCCAAACAAGAAGGCGCAGTGAACAGATAGAGACATAGCCATCAGCAAGACCAGAAATACCCAAAACATTGATCCAGCTTTAAGAAATATTTCAGGTAATGGAGAACATTCTTGTAGTGTTAATGCCAACTATGTTCCTGGCAAGCATGATCTTATTCAAGATAGCGAAAAAAAATAATCGGAAGGCATACACGTCTTCGAAAAGTAAATGAGTCGACCGCCAATGACGTTAGTTTTAAAAGCGCTCAAACTTCAACCTCAAATATCAATGCGCCGTCAAATGAGATTCATGCTAATATATACAGTTCTCATAACTAAAATTCTGCAGCTGAATCTGTTATGAATAGTAATCGTGAATTTGTCGATTTTAGACGAGCTTCGTCACTATTCTTTGATGCTGCAAATATTTACAATACTAAAACACAACCCGATCAAAAAAAGATCAGAAGACTTTGAGCAAAGTGCAAAAAGAATCCAAAACTAATTATATATTTGAAGACCTTGTATCAGGGTTAAATTATAACTCAGGTGATGAGGAAACTAAAGCTTAATCATCTGTGTATGATACTAATAATTCAAAGAAATCTTCAACTTTCCCCGATTGTTGAGATGGATCAAAAAGAAAAGATGCCCTTGAAAAACTATGTACAGTGGAGCTATGGAAGTTAAAGGCTCTTCCTAATTGTACACTCAAGTCCAAAAATGATAGAAGTTATGGTTTTTCGGATAATGAAATAGTCAAGTATGTTTTTGATGGTCGGCCATCGCCAATAGGGTGTGGGGTGTGGGAAGACCGACACCCTCACACTTACACCCACACCCACACCTACACCCCACACACCCACCCCACGCAGAAAAAAAAAGGTCGACTAGGGATAATATCTACAACGAATATGTTCACTTTCAATTTTTTATTTATTTAGGAATATATATTAACTGATGGTGTTGTTGTTGATTCGCTTCAAAAATCTGGCGTTAAGAAACATGCTAATCGTTATGCAACATCTCTTATGGACATACTTTTCAAGCCTGATGAACTTTTAACTATAGAAAGAAAAAATATACCGACAGATTAACGATATATTTTGCTTAAAGGTTTGCAGATGTTTACTTTTCATTTTATATTGACACTCAGTATCTTTTAGAAGCAGTACGCAACGAATTTCGTTTAGCACAAGACGAACTTGAAACTATGTGGACTTGGCTTCATACTGTCATATTGACTAAGCGGCGAACAATCAGAGCAAAAAGGAAAAAAAATGAATCAATGAATCAGCAAATCAATAATTAATTTCTAATTTATGTTTCGTATGTGAATTTCTCCAAGTTCATGTGGGCAGAAATTCAACTTAAGTTTTTATTTATTTTTACTTGATACTCATGTTAACTTTTATTTCTAATCTCTTTAATGAACATGTACCACAATGAACTTTTTCTTTCATTCATCTACATGTCACGATATGAACTCGTATTTAATTTGTATAGTTTTGTTGTATTAACTCTTTCTTAGAAAATGATATTCTAGAATATTTTGTGTATTATGTATATACAATTGAAAATTTAATAAATACAGAAGAACAAACGAGAATATTCTAGTTACCTATTTTTCTCCGATAGTTGCTCATCAATATTAGCGAATGGTATTGGATATTACGATGCAGTTGCGTCATATCTTCGATCATACTGTGACTTATAATTGCGAAAGCTGCGACGCAGTTACGCACAACAGTGAATTTTTTATCGTAACTACGCGTAACTACGATTTTTTCATCGCAGTTACGTGTAACTACGTCGCAGTTTTTCGCAATTACGGGTCACAGTGCGATCGCAGTTACGCCGTATCTACGCCGTAGTTTCATCGTAATGAAACATATGGGTAGATACGGTGAATTTTGTAATTATCTCATCTACATTTGCTCTCTTTTTTCCATTGAGAACCAAAAGAGAAATAGAGAAATCCAGTTTCCTTTGCCATTCAGATTTCAAACTCGGTGAAAGAAAACATGTACTGGATGCTCTATAAAAAGATTAAAAAAATATTATAGTGATGTCATGGGGTTGGGGAGGGGTCTTAAAAAAATGACAAGTGATGATATATGGGGGTGGGGGTTCAAAACCCAAGAAAAACAGGTGACGTAATATGTGAACAGTCCCTTGTCTAGCAACTCCTTCAGTTTTGAATCATCTTTTAATCCTTTTCTTTTTCTATTTAGATCCTCCATCAATGGCGACAAGCAACGGCATGAACAATAACTGTTCAACTTAAAAAAAATGTAGGTATTCGTTTGCCTTTCTTCTATTATTGTTATTTCATTCTAAATGTTTTCTTTTCTAGATGTGTATTACATGCTTCCTTTTTAGGTCCAGGAACGATTCTGAACTCGCAGCAAACGTACCGGCCATTTGTAGACATCATCAACTGTTAGATAAACATACATTTCATTGCCAATCGATAGAGACAAACATAAAACAATATTGTTTGAGTTTTCTTTCAATAGAGAATGTGAATATCGTGGATTGAGACAATTAATAGAAAGAGAAAGCAAAAAGAAAGCACAATTCACGCGAGAGTCTATTCCAGAGAAAATCGTTGAACACGATAATTACTCCGATCGGCGACATGGAGATTACCATGTCGATCGAAAGACAAACCAACGGGGCGGTTGGGGTGTGGGTGTGACTCTTGATCTAAACACCGACACCCACACCCTCACACACCCTCAAGCATCAGAAAAGCCGACAAAGCGTGTTTTCAGTACATTTTTAGTGATTTTTGATCATTTATGTAGTTATTTGAGTAAGGCTACCGTTTATAACTTTGCAACGGATCGCCTTCGAGAGCTGAACAACTTCTTATGTTGCTCAGAAGTTTCTCCTCTTTCGGACGCTTATATTTAAAAATATATCTATCAAACACTTCTTGGAGCTGAATCTGGGACGGAACGATATTCTGAAGATTTCACTTCCTAACCCTTCTTTTGAAAATTTGGTATATGCTGTATTCAACACAGAGCTTCAAGATCTATCAAAAGTGGTATTTCGAATTGATCTAGCTATCTATGTTTCAGACTTTGTCGAAGGGAGTACATTTCGAGCGGGGTCGTCAGACAGAAAATTCATCGTTAGGGGTCAACTTGCGTGTGGATGTAACTCTGAGTGTAACGATTCCTGCACTTGACAGCCTATTACAAGTGGCCTTTTTCCGTTGTGAACTTATTTTTAGTGTGTAGTATAGTTGTGTCTTTATTCCGAAGACATTTCGCTCTCATTCACATATATGCTCAGGGCTACACCCCATACACAAATGCGGGGTGTGGGTGTGGGTGTGGGTGTCGGTGTTTAGATCAAGAGTCACACCCACACCCCAACCGCCCCGTTGGTTTGCGGGGTGTGGGTGTGGGTGTGGGTACCGGTGTGGGTGTAATTCAAATAATTTCACACCCACACCCGCACCTCACACCCTTCACTATGAAAATTTTGCAATCATTTTCTTCCGTCGCTTCATATATTTCGTTCGCCTTTCTTGTGAAGAGGGAAAAGAATCAGAAAAAAGGAACATAACGAAAAAATATAAGATGACAATCAGTGATTCTAGAGAGACTGTTAATACTTTTGTGAATATGCTAGACTCATTTCACTTACCACATATTAAGATACAGGGTATGGGTGCTAAGAATGTCCTCAGTCATGTCTAACTTCACATCCAAACCCACACCGAAACGCTTAAGTATGCAATCGTACCCTTTTGTTGTTTTTTACAGAATTCATTTTGCATTCGAAATTTTACTCGATCTGTAGATTTGGTATTTTTTTCCTTTTCGTCACATTCTTCTTTGCAATCTTTTTGCTCCTATTCATTCTTGTGATTTTACCTCGATGATGCAGACAAAAGTAAATACTCATGAATTTTGCATCTTACAGTCAAATGAATCAAGTATTGTGTCTTTCCCTCTTTAGAGTAGTAGAAAGTTTACTGTTCGGTTTCTTTCACTGATTATATGTTCGTACATAAAATTTGGCTAAAGTCCAAGGTAAATTACCATAGAACAGTCATGCACACTAGTTTCTGAGAGACAAGACGGGGGAAAATTAAGTAATGGAATTGGAACCCTGCTAAAATTGAGTTGCATTTTACCCCAATAATATATTCTGATGTCAGGAGTCAGTTGCTGTTCGAATTTTTCAGTTAGACTTCATTTTGTATGTGCACAGTTCATTTTAAACTTCGAATTATGTATTGAGTATAGTATTCTGGTTCCGAATATTCTTATGAGAACTTTGTTGTTTCGTTTCTACATCTTTTACTGTCAGTAATCTATGAAATCAAAGACATTCTTCTAACTATCAAATCGTACAAAGAAGTATGATTAAATATTCTTTTATTTTTTTTTCCAGATATCATTGCACATACCCATGCAATTATGACGATATTCATGGCAAAATGATACATTTAAAACTAGCACAAAGAACTGAGTGCATCGATTTATATTACAAAATGATTCATCAAATTTCGATTTCAACCAAAGAATTCAACTTGTAATTACTGTTAGGATTTTGCCAAAAAAAAATAATTTTAACAAACTCTTCGGACAAACCATGATGCACTACGTAGGAAACTTCAAAAAGTCAAGAATATCTACAACAACAACAACAACTAACTAGATCGTAAAAAGAAAATTTTCGTTGAAACAATATTTGGAAAAAACCTTAAGGGTATAACTACATACTGAATTTTTTGGTTGTGAAAATTGATGAATCATTTGTAATATAAATAGATTCACTCAATTCTTTGTGCTGATTTCAAATGTATCGTTTGATTTTATACAAAATCTGATTTTGACGTTGAAATCGACCATTCAAGAGTCGGGAAAAGGGAGGCAGGGCTGCGCAAATACGAATACAAATTGTATTGCGATTGCAAAAAGGTAAACATCTGAAATCTTTCACAAATACCTATTTGTTTTCAACAGCTTTTTTTGGTATGTAACGGCATCAGGGACGGCGCGAAGTAATAAAAGTATAGGGGGTTACTTGAAAACGAGAGATTTTTTTCAAAAACGGGAGGTTTTTTTCAAAAATCGGAGGAAATCAATAAAAATCTCTTCTATTTTCTTCAAATCGGAGTAAAATTGAAACAAAAATTTCCAAAGAATGAACATCTTAACTCTTTCGTAATTATCTAATTGTTTTTCAACAGTTTGCATCGGCATGTAACAGCTTGTATCAGCCTGCATTAGATCAGTATGTCTCTGGGACGACCCGATATAAACTGTTACATGAATTCTAGAATTCAAGGTTTTTCGGGGATACATGCATGGTTACGTTGATATACTGACACAATACAGGCCGATACAAGCCGTTACATACCGATGCAAACTGTTGAAAAACAATTAGATAATTACGAAAGAGTTAAGATGTTCATTATTTAAAAATTGCGATTCAATTTGTATTCGTATTAGCATATCTCTGTTATCATGCTCTTGAGGGTGTAGGTGTGCGTGTTAGTTATTATTTCTCATTATCCACATCTACACCCATTTCACCCTTCTTGTGGGTTTCAGTGCGTTTTCAGTCAACACACGCGTGTAAATGCATAAGAGAGAAGAGAAAAGGTGGTCATTTGTTTCATACTGAACAACCGTAATTATGATTTTCGTCTAAAAATCCTTATTACGTTGTTGGACATCGATTGGACGTTTTTCATTAGTGAAACATTCCATTTTTCACAATGAATATAACATATAAGTGTATGTAAAACAAGTTATTTTTCTGCTTAGTTTCAATCAGAATTAAAATGGCACAATCACCAGATCAGACAATTGAGTATTTTCAAGTAAAATTTTATTTCAAATCACAAATTTCATTTTTATTCTATTGATTTTTAGTCATTAACTAACTGGAATGATCGACAAGCTGTCATTGAGTTTTTGGAAATGTACGAATGGGATGTCAGTGTACGTGCGTTCTACATTTAAATGAAGAAATTGAATAGAACGAAAGCATAAAATAAATTTCTTTTTTTTCTATTTTCATTAGTTTGCTATAGAAGCATTTTTGACTGAGTGTGGTAAATCGTTTTCCTTTTTTTCTTAAATACGTTTTCATTTTGATAGTTGTAGAGCGAGTTACAAATGTTAAACCAAAGACGCCCACTTTACTTCGAACCATTTCAACAGAAGTAGGAATTCGATATAGCTCAACGAATGATAATTCAACACAACAAGAAGCAATTTCTGAAAATCATCATCAGCAAATATCAGTAAGCAAAACTTAATAAATTTTGTTCTAAGAAAGAAAGAAAGAAAGAAAGAAACCCTTGCCTTGCGGCTACCTTTCAGTATAGGGTGCTGTCCGGAGACAGTTTCAAGAGCCCGATATTTTTCCTACAACTATTACTAGCTGCAGCTCTGGACAGAAGGCCGGCCTGACTCAGAGTTCCTTCCGCTTAATTACTTAAGCTTCCCATGCATACTGACTAACCACATACTATCCATGAGGATATTTTTATGTATGTCATATGTAATCAGCGTGCTATCGGATGGGTGGTCCGAGACAAAACAGCCGTTAGTAACTTGTCCACGGTTATTCTATGGATGATGGCGCCGAGGTTTGAACACACTATCTTGTAGATATGTGCCGAACATCTTAACCATTCAGCCATAGCGGC